CCCCCCCCCGCCGGGCCCGCCGGGGGCTGGGGCCACGGTGAGGCGGCAGGCAGGGTCCTTCCCTGCCACGCGTGTATGGGCGTCCTTGCACGCACATGGTGCCTTGCACGCACGCGTGAGCCCACTGCCCGTGCATGCCCTAGCCCCACTGCGCGCGTGGCACATGCTGCCCACTCCTGCCTCCTGCCTGCGTGTGCGACGCTCCCTCTCACGCTTGCACGCACATGGGCACAGCTGCCCGTTGCGCGCGCACACACACACACACACGCATGCAACTCCATCCCACATGTGCAGCTCCTTTGCACATACACACACTCACTCGCACACTCGGCTTGCACACTCGGCTCTACTTTGCATACGTGTGTAGGTTCTCTTGCACACATGCGCGCATACATATGCACCCGCGCACACTTTGCACCACTGCCCCTTGCACGCCCTCCTGCCCACGCACACTCCCATACTCGTGCGTGCAAACACATGCATGTGCCCCCTGACTTATAGGTACCTGCTGCAGGTGGGGGCCCTCCCCGACGCCCCAGCCCCCCCGTGTGCCCAGGTGTTATTGCTCCGGGCATCCACGGGAGACAAAGTCCAGGGTGGAGGGAGGTGCAGGGGGGGTGACTCACAGCTCCGGCCTCCCCGCCGCTGCCACCCTTTCCGTCACACTGGGTGATGTGCCATGCCCAGCCCTGCCCCGTTGTGCCATGCTGTGCTGTGCCAGGAAGCCCTGTCCCTGGCACTGGGCCCAGCGGGACCTAGCTGCTGTGGGCAGCTGCCAGCCCACAGTCTTTTTCCTGGTGACCCCGATGGTAGAGACGGGCTGCAACACCCTGCTTTGCTTGGGGACATACCACCCCAGGGCTGTTCCCTGTGTCCTAGACAGTGCCGTGCGTGGACCACACAGTGACCACTCCGTATTACAGGGGTTCTCGCCCTTGTCCCCCAGGACAGAAACCCCCTATGGCACCGCTTTGGTCGATGGGAGCTCAGAGGATGCTCAGACATGGGAGATTTGGGACACGAGACGTTTCTGGGTGGTGGCCGGGCTCTGGGAGCCTCATGTGTGGGTGCCTCCCTCCTGCCAGCAGTGCACTGGGTGAGCTGGGCAGTGGTGTCAGCAGTCCCAGCAGCAATTAGCCGGCTTAATGAGCTGAAGAAGCAGCTTTCTGCCCTTACTGGAGGAGCTGAGGACACCCAGTGGTGGGGGGGTGCTTTGCCCACCATCTGGCTGTGTTCCCCCACCAGCACAGGTGATCCCACAGCTGGAGAGGACACAGAGGGCAGCCGGTGCCAATTTGGGGAGGAATGATACAATCATAGAATGGTTTGGGTTGGAAGGGACCTTCAAGATCATCTAGTTCCAACCCCCCTGCCATGGGCAGGGACACCCTCCACTACACCAGGTTGCTCAAAGCCTCATCCAACCTGGCCTTGAACACTTCCAGGGATGGGGCAGCCACAACTCCTCTGGGCAACCTGTTCCAGTGTCTCACCACCCTCAATGTAAAAGATTTCTTCCTTCTATCTAATCTAAATTTCCCCTCTTTCAGTTTAAAGCCATTGCCCCTTGTGCTATCACTACATGCCCTGTCAAAAGCCCCTCTCCACATTTCTTGTAGCCCCTTTAGGTACTGGAAGACTGCTAGAAGGTCTCTCTGGAGCCTTCTCTTCTCCAGGCTGAGCAATCCCAACTCTCTCAGCCTGTCTCCATAGCAGAAGTGCTCCAGCCCTCACATCATCTTCGTGGTCTCTAGAGCAGCTCCAACAGCTCCATGTCTTTCCTGCGCTGAGGACTCCAGAGCTGAACGCAGTACTGCAGGGGGATCTCACAAGAGCAGAGAAGATGGGCAGAATCACCTCCCTCGACCTGCTGGCCACGCATCTTTTGATGTGGCCCAGGACACGGTTGGCTTTCTGGGCTGCCAACACACATTGCTGGCTCATGTTGAGCTTCTCATCACCCAGCACCTCGAAGTCCTTCTCCTCCAGGCTGCTCTCAATCCGTTCTCCACTCAGCCTGTACTTGTGCTTGGCATTGCCCTGACCCATATGCAGAACCTTGCACTTCACCTTGTTGAACTTCATGAGGTTTGCACAGGCCCACCTCTCAAGCCTGTCAAGGTCCCTCTGGATGGCATCCCTTCCCATGGAGAGATCATGTTCCCCACATAGCAGCTTGGAGGTCCCCAAGACCCCCTCCCCTCTGACTGGTGCCATCCTCAATACCTCAGTGAAGGTCAACTCACTGGCTTCTGGAATAGGGGTGCAGGGAGGAATGGGGGGGGATCATGTCGGCTGTTCCCCCCAGCTCTATGGCTGGCTCATCTCCTCTCCTGCTTCCGGATTCCTCGGTGGGTCCCAGCCTGGCTGGGAGGGCCCTGCAGTAGACCAGCTGGGGAAGGTCTGAACCGACGTCTCGAACATCAAATTCCCACCCAGGCCTGATGCACAATGAAGACGGAGGAGAAACAGCATGTGACTTGCCTGCCGGGAGGCTGGAAGGCAAATGCACACAGTAATGACCAATCTCAGCAGGATGCCAGCATCAGGACACCATCTGGGGAGGAAAGTGGAGCACAAGAAAACAATTAGAAAGGTGGTAATTACCAGTCTAATGAGATATCAGGTTGAATGCTAAAAGCATCAAGATTCTTTCACAGTGAGATGTAGCTGCTGCAGTATTTGTCCTCTGGGGTATTCCCTCGCACAAAATATTTCCTTTCCCACAAGACCAAGAGAAATTTGATGGGGGAAGAGGCTATGTGATGCAGCAGCTGCCTCCAAAACTGCCCAGTCCTCTCTTACCACCTGACCCATGATCTTGCAGAAACGCCCCAAAAAGCAGCTTTATTTGGAGGAGAGACAGGCTGCTCAGGTCTTCCAAGGACGCGCAGACCCCAGTTCTCCTCATTGGAGAAGATCGTGGCAAGTGGAGAAGATTGGAAGTGGAGCCGGAGGGAGGGAGCGTGCCCTGCTCAGACGCGCTGGCAATTCAGCCCCAGGCTGCTCCTTGGAAAGGTAGGGAGTAGGGAATGGAGCCCAGCCCCGGGAGCTGCTTGCGTCTCCCCAGAGCTCCTCACAGCCCCTCTTACCACTCCCATGCATGTCCTCCCCTCCAGCCTCTCCTCCATGCTCACACCCTCAGCCCATCACTGGCGAGGCAGCCGCCCCCCCAGCCCTCCCGTCACCCCCCTGTTCCCAGCCCTGCTGTGCCACAGAGAATCATAGAATGGTTTGGGCTGGCAGGGACCTTAAAGACCATCTAGTTCCACCCCCCCTGCCATAGACTCCTCTCCCTGATACATTCTTCGGGGTCCCGCTAACTCCTTGTCCACCCTGACCACAGCAAGGGACCACATCCCACCTCCTGCCATGGAGCTGAACCAGACATCCCCCTCTCCCACATCACCTGTGCCAGAGACCGACGGAGACGACCTGTGCGGGATTGAGGTCACTGATATGGCTGTAGATGCTGTCACACTGCTCGTCTCCCTCTGTGGGCTGATGGGGAACGGGGCCGTCCTCTGGCTCCTCGGCTTCCGCATCTGCAGGAACCCTGTCACTGTCTACGTCCTCAACCTGGCTGTCGCAGACTTCATTTTCCTCCTCCTCATGGTCACCTCAGCCCTCCTCTACGTGATGGAGAACATCTCCTGCTCCGCTCTTGTGTCCCGGACATACAAGAGGTCGTTCCTCCTGCTCTCACTGTTCTCCTACAACATGGGCTCCTACCTCCTGACGGCCATCAGCATCGAGAGGTGTGTGTCCATCCTTTGCCCGCTCTGGTACCGCTGCCACCGTCCCCAGCGCTTGTCGGCCGTGGTGTGTGCCTTGTTCTGGGCCCTCTCCATCGCCTTCATTGCTGCAGTGACTTCTCTGTGCCTGTCACACGAGCATGAGCACTGCCGCGTGGCTCTCATCTCCATGTACGTCCTCAACTTCACTATTTTTGCCCCACCCATGGTCATTTCCAACGTGATCCTGTTCGTTAAGGTCCTGTGTGGCTCCCGGCGACGTCAACCCAAGAGGCTCTACATTGTTATTTTCCTCACCGTCCTCTTCTTTCTCATCTTTGTGGTTCCCCTCAGCATCTGGAATTTCCTGCAGCAGTTTAACTACACGGCCGTGCCTTCCCAGGTTGTTTTCCTGCTCGCCTGCATCAACAGCAGCATCAACCCCTTCATCTACTTCTTGGTAGGGAGCTACCGGAGGCGCTGCTCCTTGGTGTCCCTCCAGGTCGCCTTCCGGAGGGTCTTCGAAGAGACGGGGGTCACCACGGTCTCCAGCTAAGAGGCCACTGTGTTCACACTGGCCACGCTGCTCACCTCAGCTTCATGCTCAGCTGCCCACCCTTGCTCCCAGCAGGGCCTACAGGTCACCTTCCTGCAGCTGTGTGTCAGAATGCATTCCATCCCTTATCCCGTCCTGTCCTGGTTCCATCTTGTCCCTATCCCCATCCTATCCCCATCCCATTCTCAGCCCCATTACAATCCCCATCCCAATACCAGTACCATCCCATTCTCATCCCCATCCCCCTCCCCAGCCCATCTCCATC